GCGTAGTACGACAATGCTCGCATCGATGAGATCACGTAATAACCATGCTATTGTAAATCGACTTATAAGGTTTGGTCCAAAACTGTGCGAAATTATTAGGACGTCCAATTCGGTTGCTATTTCGTACATATTTGACAATAATTTCTTGATAAACATTGGTGGAATATTCTAAATGTAAATGCTGGAAATAGAGCATAATCGTTAATTGAAATTCACATTTCCTAATAAGGTAGGATGCAGCTATCATACCATAACATTAAATGACACTGATGTCAATAGACAGGCGTATGGCATAAACAATTATTAAATGTGAATAAGGGTATATGAAGAAGTGTCTCCAGTTTATAGGTCACAATTGTCAAGCCCGAGTGCTGATGTTTGTCACAGTGTAAGGCCTGCTTATCGTCTTGCTTGCAGAGGAACGCTGTTATTCTGGAAGGCACTTGTCTCACAATAACGCAGTAGCTACACACAGGTCGTAATTAGAACAAAATATTCTAACAGTAGTACTAAGCATTTTCATTCCAGCTTATATAGTATGCAGCTATATTTCTTTACCTTTAATTGATACAATGCGGTTCCCAGTGGGAGTTATGTGGGCGGCCCCTCGATTGCGATAGCAGGCCTTACACTGTGACAGTTTTGTTATTCTGTGGGTGGGTCTCCTCTGATTGTACAGCAGTGACATTGCAACACATGTGTACAATAAGATACATCCATTAACCCGATAAGATACAATGACGTGATATGGTTAATATGTCACTGAAACAATATATATGTACCTTATAATGTAAACGCTTACAGGAAGGTAGGCACGTACTCATAGTTCAAAAATAACAATATATAGACGTGCCCACGATACTATGCAAAAAGTCTTAACGACAAATGGAATTTGAACGTTACTTTACTGATAACAATGACATTACAACCATCTGTCTGCCTATCAACAACTGGACAAAACAGAGATGTCAATTCGGTAACCTCATATGCAGCTGAAGAGGTTAAAGGTCGTGAAAAGGTTGGTGGTTATTCTAATTCAACTGGGTTCATTTAATGAATTGTGCCCACTAATCGTCAGCTAATATAATGAAAGTGTCTTTCATTTATTTGATAAATATACAAATGTCAATTTCCATTACATGCATTTTCTGACTAGTCTAATACTTTAAACGTTGACAAAGACAACAACCAAAACAAACGTAACATAAACTTTAATTCGCGGTGACTGCACATTGTCTATTCGTAATGTTCAAAGCAAAACAGTGAATCGTCAGGGTGGGAAGGATTCAGGGCCAAACGACGCGAACATTACGTGTTCAATCATTTTAGTAAATTCCTTTTAAAACCTCATAAGAGGATGACCTGTACTTTAAAAAGCAATCAAAGCAGTAAATAATAATAATAATAAATGATATGCATTATTGTCCCAAAGATAGTTGCTGTTGTCACATATCATTAATTAAGTGTGTCTAAACTAAAACAATGCCTCAATTTACTGCACTTCGTGTTTGTCATCTATCAGTTGAAATAATATAATTGCAAAATATACAGCTTAATGATTTGTGGTTAAAGAAATAATACTATAGTATTTTAGTTTTTCATTCGAAACTCACGAAAAGCTCAAGCTAACATATAGAACAGTGTATATAACCCACGGTGGCGTGCACAGAAATACACTAAGCTGAATATCATAATTCGTCGAAAACCAACAACACTGGAATTAAGTTATACTTTTAACGTTGTATTCCACAGCCTTTTTCATTTCAGCTAGTAATGTTACGGTCACACGGTAGAAGCACTGCGATAATGTTATTGAAATATTAATATTAATGATTACGCAGAGGTTAGTTTTTCCCAAGAGGGCTAACCAATATGGGTACAAATTTTAAATTGTTTATTACAATGCATTTTATCACAGCATAAATAATACAACAACAAAAAACAAACAGTAATCAACGATGTCAACTGTAGCACTTACGGATAACAAACACGGAAAGGTAGGTTCGTGAAACCACAGACAGTGAACGCTTAAAATAAAAAAAGACAGCTAAATAACAAGAATAACAAAGAAATAAAGTTATGAATAACTAATTATGGATGATAACAAACACATGGACGCCCGATCTGTATCAACTGCACAATTAAATAATTTCAATCAACGCCACTTAGGTTTTCAGCGTTGGTCGTACAATGTTTACAGGTGCACAGTGCATCACAGTTACCGGACTGAACATTATACTATATTATAAGTCATTACTAAGTTGAAGCAGCAGCTTTACGAATTGTTATGCCAAGCCAGTAGTGACTATTTACAACAGTGACCTTTCATCACGCCATTGCCTGTACTGCACTAAACAAACATAATGCAACTAACAAACTATTTTATATGGCACAATTCACCCATCCACAATTGAAATTAATGTTTTTGTTCGTCTACTAATGTAAAGTAATAACAAACTGCTAACAATTCCCCTAAGAAAAAAACGGCTGGTAGACGACACTGATCCTGGAAACAATAACAACCTTATCTACAGTTCAGTCAATCGTTACGTTTTTAATAAGTGACGTACATTGTGTCATATGTATTTTATTTAACAACAACTGTTACATATTCACCTTCAGAGGGAAGTTGAGTACTTCCCCAATGTGTGCTATCGTGCAAGAAACAGTGTATGAATCTATATTAGTTTAATAATGTTAGCCAGAATGGTTAATCGAAACAACAGTTATTAAAAACTGATTTTAAATCATTCTTCTTATACAATATGTGGTTATTTGAAACGTTCTACGTGATCTGAAATTTAGAATGCATTCACTAAACTGATGCATATTGCATTTACACTGCATTTTTCCTAGAATAATAAAAATAGCAAATTAATAGGGTGAGGCCTAAAATGTGACGAATTATAGTCTGCAGTGCCATGGAATCGTGCAACTTATCACACCAAGCATAGTTTTGCATAACACCACAACTATTTATTGTTTCAGGTGACGCTACTTCAACATCGCTTTGGCAAACTGCGGCTCTGTAGTGATTTGTGTTTTGCTATAAACTTGTCGTAAATGTGTACACATATACATTTGACTCAGCTTGTGTGTGACATATACCGAGGCGCCGAAGTCGGAGATCAATATTATGGCTATCGCCTCGGTAGTCGTGCTTATCTAACATACACACCGAGCGATGAGTTGCAGGGAAACACCCCTTATTGTATAATAAATTAACCCCGAATCCATTGTATTCTCGTTTCAAGTGGATTGTTCGC